AAAAAAATAATGTTACATCCCCAATATCTCTAAAACCACAGCAGCTGTTTTAATACTTACACTTATGATTAAATCTCCCAAGTGAGCTTTATTTTGATACCAAGATTGTTTAAGTAGAGTTTGTAAATGCTGGGATACACTCAATTACATTTTATTTCAAGCGAATACATCAGGAAAACCCCTTGGGGTTTAAGAGGTCAAAGCTGTTTTCTCCTGGTTCCAGGCTCTACAGTGAAGTGGCTTTATTGTCTGTGTTCATTGTGTTATAAAAGGCAGGCCTATTTTTAGGCGTTCAGACAGTGTGACAATAACCTGCCGTTTCAGCCACAGTAGCTGTTCAGACCCGGGAGGGGCAGAACAAGAAAAGTTTGTAGTCGCCAAGAACTCTTCTAATTCTGGCTGCCTTGTTTTGAGCTGACACTCAGGGCAGCTGCTGTGGAGAGAGACCCGACTCTTTATATATATATATATAGATCACATATTTACGCTCTCACCTCRCGCCCTCGGCACATTTAGCTCATTTTCACACACYCTGATGCTTTTCTTGAGCGGGGAGCCACAAGTGTCCCCTGATGACCCGCTAATGAAGCTTTGAGACGTGGCACATTGTAAGGATGTGTTCAGTGTCAATAGGGTTGCACTTTAGTATGTGGCGCCTCGCTGCTGTTGACATCGGTAAGCTGTGTCCCAAACGTTCTGCAATGCTAACAGCAGTCTCACATTTCCAAATTTTTATATTCACTTTTACCACCTGAAAGGCAGGAAATATTGATTGTTTTTTTTGTTTTTGTTTTTGCTTTAGTCTATTACCACAATACCTCATGGACCTCTGCATGGATTTTAAATGTTCAGAAAGTAACCATTAGACGTAGTTTTTAGAGTCAACCCAATTTAGGATAACCACCACATTTATAATATCCAACACAAAAAAGGCTGTAAAATGGAAATTTACCCACATTGGACTAACATCAGTAGCTGAGAGTCATTCACAACACACTCTGACCATCTTGCAGTGCATCATGAGTTGACACATAAACTTATTTTAATTTAGGCCCTGTCACACTAGACAACTTATGCCAACTTATGAAACATTTTTTCTCTAAATTGCTAATAAAAGTTAGATATTTGACAAATTTATTCGAATTACATTATGTACATGCCGAAAAGAAGTTTCGTGTTGTTTTTTTTCAATATGTCTTCAATGTAGACATCTTTAAAATGTTCATAAGTTGGTATAAGCTGTCTAGTGTGACAGGGCCTTTAGTCTAAAACTGGCATGCAAGGTGGCGTGTGATGTGCATTTCTTCAAAGGTAAGCTGAAAATTATTGCCGTTTTATGTTAACACCAATATGGAAAATGCTAAAGGTGTGAATCAAGTCAGACTTAATTACTCTAAACCAGTGGTTCCCAAGCTTTTTAGCTTTTGACCCACAAAATAACAGCAGCAGAGRGAGAGCAGTTCAACTATTTTTGGGTGATTAACATTGATATTGGGTCAAATAAACAAAAACATAGTAACAATATTAATTTTTAAGTACACAAACCTCACTTTTTTTTAACAAGACAAATGTTTTAGTAGTCATTTTTAAATTGGGTCATTTCAGAAAATCTTTTCATGACCACCTTGATGTTTCGGGACCTCCACTTTGACCTGAGGCTCTGGGGCTACATGTGGCTCTTTGAAGCTTTGACCAAAACTACCATGAAATTTAATGGTTTTGATTTTTACACCAACAATGGGAAAGACTAGTTTTAGCACGCTCTCTTTTTGTACTTTCTTTTAATTTTTTCCTTTGCAAATATGTGAATGAAGCAGGTACAAAGAGTGAAGCTAACAGTTTGTTAGCCTCTTCATTAATCCAGCCTTACAGTTTGACCGTCCTTTGAAATCCTTCAGAAATATTTTGGAAAACCTTTAAGACAAGTTCAGAAGAAATACGGTGAGTCAGTTTAATACAAATAAAGAACTGGAAAAAACTAATTGAAGTCAAAGTAAATGAAAGTATTTTTGCATTTTAAATTCCAATACGCTGCAACACACATCCAAAAAACTGGCCAACGTTTTAAACCCACTTCAACAATATGTTTTTTTATACTTTAAAGTGGGGTCATTTTTTCCACAGCTAAAAAGAGGGCTCCCCTTCTTTGGTCTTTTATCTTAAAATGTATAAATATCAAAATATTAAATGTTAAAATTAATTATATTTAAATGTATAATATTACCTCCACTGGCCAGAAAAGAACCCCTCAACAAACTCAAAGTGGCCCACGAGCCAATAGTTGATCATGACGATATCAGCAGGATTTGCAGCTCTGGACATTTTTTATTTAATGAACAAAGGAGCAGAAATGGCTGTTTGGATTATAAAAATTGCACACACACACACACACACACTTTATATTGCGACTTTGTGAGGGACACATGAGCTCACAGCAGCGATTTGAAGAACCTGATGAGAAATGCGAGTAAGTTTGGCTCCAACTCCGTCCTGACAGGTCACTAAATTACCCCTAATGAGCTGGTGGTTTTCAAGCACTCTCATCCTTTTATGTCAGATGGGAACTAGAAATGATTGGCTCGCAAATCAGAATATCAGATTAGGAGTTGATTCTGATGTAGTTGCTAAAAGCCTGTGATGACAGGCACTAACTGTAGCATAAGCTTACAGAAGTGCAGGAGTGTGGAAATTTCAAAAGTGATCCTTCAGATGACCTGCTATTCCACTCGTTCGGTGTTACAACAAAGGGCGTGTGTGTTTTCCTTCTTCATAAGAATACAGTACCATAAGTGCTTTATGAAGCATCATTTACCTGTCACTTCCTAAAGAGGACATAGTTTATAAATATCATCCAGTGGAGCTGCAGCTGGGGGGCTACAAAAAGGCCACCCACAGCTTCCCCCATTGTTCACTGGCTCCATTGTTGCTCTGCCATCCCAGCTGCTCGGCCATGGTAAGTTGGTGTGTGTGTGATGTTTGCTAAAGCATGGGTGTGTTTTCTCAGCTTGGGAGGTGATGTTTTGGATTTGGAAAAAAAAAGTAGAAACAATCTTGTATGTGCTTGCAAAAAGCATAATGGTGTTAATCTAATATCTCTAGGTACAAAACAGAATGACTAAATTATGATCGTTAGCAAAGCTTTGCCTTAAATAGCATCAAGATAATGTCTCATATTTCTTTCTTTCTTTTTTTTCCTAAAGGCCCCCAAGAAAGCCAAGAAGAGGACAGCAGAGGGAGCCAACTCTAATGTGTTCTCCATGTTTGAACAGGCCCAGATTCAGGAGTTTAAAGAGGTGAGAGCGTTGGTTTAACACAGCAGCATCTGAAYGTAGAAAGGATGGTGTTAGGAAACCGTAACCCCACGCCGAGGCACACGCCGAGGTGTCCAGCTGCTTCCCCCATCGTCTTTCCATTTCCATTGTTCCCGGCTGCAGCACCTGTCTATATTCATGACGATGGCTGGACAACAGCTCGTGGTATGTTGGTATGAAGGTCGGTGGTGCCCAGTCATTCAGACCGCGTAATCAGCGATTAGGCCACAAATGATCTGCTGGGTGTGCCCTGGATGCCAGACWGAATCTGAGAAGAGGGGGCTTATGGTTATAAATACTTAACTGTGTCCATCAATGATGCCAAAAAAGAAAAATGATCAAGGACAGAAAGAATTAAGAAATGAATACAGATTGTTCTTGAATGCTTTGTGTTTACGGGTAAAATGTCACTCATGAAGCCTTCTCTGTGCTCGGATRGTAAGGCCTTCACCATCATGGACCAGAACAGAGACGGCTTCATCGACAAAAARGACCTGAGGGACACTTTCGCTGCTCTGGGTACGTTGGCATCAATGCTCCGGTATCTTGGAGTTCTGGAGGTTACATTTGTACCCTCTGCTTGTGTTGTGTGTGTGTTTTGGGGCCACAGGACGTCTGAACGTGAAACAGGAAGAGATCGACGACATGCTCAAAGAAGCTCCTGGTCCCATCAACTTCACAGTCTTCCTGACCATGTTTGGAGAGAAACTCAAAGGTAAAGGTCGTAAAAACAGCAATATGACGATGTGTTTCAAATGAACACTTTTAATGGCTGCTTTCATGTTCCAGGTGCTGATCCAGAGGAGACCATCCTCAATGCGTTTAAAGTCTTTGACCCTGAAGGGAAAGGAGTGCTGAAGAAAGACTAGTAAGTGACATTCCTCTCAACAGTTTGCCATGTTTTAATCCACTGCAAACAGAGCTTTTCCTCCAAATAACTGCCGGTCGTTTTAGTCTCAGCAAAAACGCCTTTTCTTTCCCCTTTTCCAGTGTGACACAGATGCTAACAACACAGGCCGACCGATTCTCAGCTGAAGAGGTACACTGGTGTTTTAACTCTAATTATCTTCATTATTACAGCTTGCTTTGTGAGTGTGGGTGAGCCTGAAAGCATGAACGTCACTGAGGATGGCGGCCAGTTGCTTCCACGTCAGACACACTTTTGTTCAAAAACTAAAACTAAAAAAAAAACATTGAATCATGCCCTTTTTATGCAGGCTGAGTAATTTGGTGTTTTTGTCTGTGCTGTATACCTTTTCTTCTTCTTTTTTTCCATTGGCCAGATGGAGCAGATGTTTACTGCCTTCCCCCCTGATGTGGCAGGAAACCTGGACTACAAGAACCTGGTTCATATCATTACTCACGGAGAGGAAAAGGACCAAGAGTGAACTTTATTTTTTTTAATCAAGAAAATCTGCTTCTTGAAAGAGAGCCGTGAACAGATAACAAAACTGTCCACTCAGCACTTATGTTGACTTTATAGTTTTTTGCTCGATGAGAACACAGCAGGATCCTGACAAAATGCGCCTTTTAAGGCCCTAAAAATGGACAATTAGGAGCGTCTGTGCAACAAACTCTTTTTGCTCCCTTTATGTTTTGTTCATCAGTTAACATTCGCCAGAGACAAGTTAAATATATTTGCCTCATCAATTTGTACACCCAAAAGTACTTTACTCGTGTCTTCTTAGATTTATCTATGTTTAATAAACCTTTTTGAAGACAGTTACCAGCCTGCTTTTTTTGACAAGATTGACATTTTTTTATACAAGTGACCATTTTAGAACAGTAGATATTTGATTACTCTTCTTCTATAATCCCCAAGAGCTTAATCCAGACAATACTTGTAAGTGGACTTGCACAAAGAAAGGTGTGTGTAGAGTTAGTGCATGAATATATTTGTCTGCTGAGACGCAGGGATTTACTGAGACAAAGCTCTGTTGTTATTTTAGTGTGGTGTAAATGTGAGGGAGGTAATGCTATACTGTGGAGACATGTAGGCGGCCGGCTCCCAAAAGAATGGCACCAAGTAATCCCCACCACCTTCGCCTATCTCTCGCTTGCCAGACCTTGACTTTGTGGTGGAGGGAGGTGAAAATCTCTGACTGGAGGCGTCAGGGTCGTCTTCACTCTCCTCTGGCTCTGGGTCGGACTCTGGCTCCAACATGTCAGGCTGGATGGACAAGTTGTTGACATCTTTTAGTTAACTCGCAACTAAAAAAGTTTCTGCGTCGCTGTATAGTCATGAACCTGAACTGCTTTGGAAGCTGGAGAGGGAGGGGCGTAAGGCTCCTTGTTTGGATCTAGAGACAGCCTCAAAATGAGTTGAGACARCGCAGGAAAGAGGGGCTTGTGGAGTTACATGGAGGAATTCGGACCAAAGCATTGCAGTTCCACTTTATTTAGACCCCAAATGAACGATTTAAATGTGAAACAAGGATTTAAAAGCAGGATATGTCTCCTTTAAAGAGCCATCTATAAAAAGTATCTGATCAGTCTGCAACTGTTTGAGACTCAGACTTGACTCAGTATTGCAAGAATCTTTGATAAAAATCTCATTAAGACCACAGAACGGTCATCAAAAGCCCGTAGAGACCATAATGATGCATCACACGTCTCGACCTGCAGTATCACACTAATCTTTTCTCAGAAGAAGCTGCTGATGGTGCAGTTAGAGGTTTCTYTTAAGAATTAACACTGCAGCTAAGTGGCGTTTAGGTTTTATCCAACATGAGGAATAATGGATGAAATTTCCAGTAAAACATTCCATTTTTGCTGAGCGAGACTTTTTAAACATGGGTGAAATATCTGATCACCTCTCATCCACCACTGTGTTTGTAGCATCTTCATTTTATTCATTTGCTGTTTTTACTTAAAATTTATTTGAGCGAAATAGATAAAAAAGGTATTTTAAGCAAAAGTTTAATTCTAGACAGAGCTCCTGCCACCATGTGGTGGTTTAGAACATCTTTGTTTTTTTTTTTTTGTTGTTGCCAAACTGCTAATTTTTTGTTTCGTTCTTATTTGTTTTGTTTTCACACCTATGTTTTGTCAATGATCTTTGTTTTCCATCTCTTTTATCAGGCCTCAAGACTCACATAAACAAGTCCAATAAATACATATAGAAAAAAGAAACTATGTTGCCTAAGTGAGTAGTGACCTAGAAATAAAGATTTAATATTAAAAAAATGAAAAGAATTAGAGGAAATTGTAGAACACTTTCATTAAATGGAGATGTCATTCAGATTTATTACAAATGGTTACAGTTAGGAATTAAAATGGAAATACTGATTAATGCTACATTCATTGATTTTTAATTTACAGATTTTACTTCTTCATTTATAAAGGTGGCTCAGTTGGTAAAGTTGATACCTCTTAGCAGGAGGGTCGCGGGTTCAAATCCCGGCTCGYGGACCTCTCTGGGTGGAGTTTGCATGTTCTCTCCGTGCATGCGTGGGCTCTCTCCGGGTACTCTGGCTTCCTCCCACAGACCAAAAACATGACTGTTAGGTTAATTGGTAACTCTAAATTGTCCCTAGTTGTAAGTGAGAGAGTGAATGGTTGTTTGTGTCTCTGTGATGGACTTGCGACCTGTCCAGGGTGTACCCCGCCCCTCGCACAGTGACTGCTGGACATGGGCACCAGTGACCCCCGTGACCCTGAAAGGAATAAGCGTGAACAGATAATGGATGGAAATTTATAATTGCTGGCACAGTCATTCATCCATATATGCATCCATGTGCAGTTGCTCCTCTAATATCCTTCTACCAATATACCCACAGTCCCTCCTCTGGACATGTCCAAACCATGTAACACCTGTGCTGCACCTCTGATGGTCTCATTTCTAATCCATCCTTGTCACTCTCTCAAGGAGATCCTCATCTTTCCAGTTTTGTCTCCAAAACCATACAACCGAGCTGGTCTCACTCAGCTTGACCTTTGCTGCCACCTTTCTCTCAGTCAATAAAGTCAGCTGGGATGTTTTCTCGGGCAGTACCACTCTCTGCCGCTAGATGTCGCTGTCCCCTGTGTGTTGGTGTCGMTTCAGCAGCGACGGGGGTGGATGTGAACTGTTGTTGGAGCCTCCTGAGGGGGTTCCGCCGCTGCTGCTTCAGTGTGAGAGTGTTTGGAGACTCGTCGAGCAGCAGGGGGGACTTTAAAAAAAAACTTCGCCGCATTCAGCGAGGGGACATCATTATTTTTTTTAAAGATTTCCCCCCTCTTCCTTCTTTATCGCGGACAGGAGCTTTCCGCTCCGGCTGTGACCGTCAGAAGAGTGGCAAAAAAAAAGAGGACCGGTCCGGTTCTCAGAGGTTGGAACCATTTCCGGCCAACATGGATGATTTAGGTAAGTTCTGCTGGCCGTGAACGCAACATGAAGCGGCGCGTTCGAGCTCGTGGTTAGTACAAAAATAATAGCAATAAATAAAATTAATAAATGCACGTTTGTTTCCCCCCCAGGAGGTCGACAACTGTTGTTACCGCTTTGAAATCCCACCTGGAATTAATAATCCAGGTTAATTTGAAAAATCATTGCGAGGTTTTAAAAATAAAATTTAAAAAAAGCTGCGCGGATCAAAAAATTAGCCACCTGAACTTGTGTCTGTTATTAGCTGGTTTTGTTAGCTGAGACTGTGACCAGCCAGTGCTGCACTGGTGGTCCTGTTAACACGACCAGGCAGGATAAATGCTCTGCCCCCCCCTGAAGTTTCCACTCTCAGACGTAAACAAAATGATTCGCCTTCTGGTTTGGACACTAACCCAGTACCCGAAACCACCCAGTGTGGTGGTTTTAATAAGTAGCCCTGCTGCTGGTGGGGTGGTGACAGCAGGGATTTCAGAGAAAACTCCCCAAACATCTGATTGCTGTGGACTGGCGGGTGAACACAGGAGAGCCTGAGATGATATCAGCTCAATAAAGGGATACTTTGTGACAACATAAAATACAAAGCCTGAGGGGACACACTGTTGATGTGACAGGGAGTGTGTGGAGAGCTCAGTGCAGTCCTGTTTCCCTCAGCTCTCTTTCTCTGTCAGTCATCTTTTTTTGGTTAGTAATAAGTTTATTTTAAGCCTATAATTTAAGTTCTAGAAAGCTAATTAAAATTACAGGATTTCTTAAACGAGTATCATCCACACATGTTGTGTTGAGAAATTACAAAGTTATGCACGCTCTCCAGTGTTGTGAAAGCTCAAGAAATGTGTTTGTGCTCAGAATTGACCGAGGATGAATCTCAAGCAACTCCCACACCAAACTGTAGCTCAGTTTGTGTAAAGTTGAAGAGTCAGAGCCATTATTGCGTTGGCTAATGTCAGTTAGCATTTGCAGCCATTGTAAAATCAACTTTTGTTGATTTTGTTGACTTTTGAGCTTTATATCATGTTAAAATGTTATCCTCTCATCAAAAACATGCCCAGATTGTTGCTTTGACTCATTCATGCATGTTTGAGAAATCCTGTAGTGTCCTGAGGCAGCCAGGCAGGGGAGAAAAAAAACATCGGTTGGGACTAGAAACACCTTTTGGGACCAGCTCCTCCTCTGGACCGTGTCTCTCCAAGCTGAGCTTCCTCATCACAGAGCACACACACCCAGCCTGTGCTGAAATAGGCGGGCCAGAAGCTGAAGGAGGTTCTTAAAGAGACAGAGGCCAATTTCAAGGCGTTTAGAAACAGATATGATGAGCAGACAAGTTTATTTTCTATCTAAACATACAAACATAGAATTTAAATATATGCCTGAGAAACACATAATATTGCCTCTTTAAATATTGATAAATATTGCCTCTTTGCTTTCTCCGGTTGTTCAAAACTAGAGCCAACTTGTTCGTCTGTATTTCGGGATCTAGAAGCTGTACTTTTATACGTTAGTCCAATACATCCCAGCTCGCTAATAGGGTGAGACCCTGCCAATCACAGTATAGCATTTAACTTTTTTCAGTAGGGGCGCTCATTCATGGTGGCCTCAGCTTCCAGCTTCTGGTTCCCTCTCTAGGTGGATCTTGATGATGGTTGATGATTTTCTGAGCGATTCACTCAATTTTGTCCACTGGTTCATGAGATATGTTGCCAACTGACTAAAACACGGTGTTGACGTTTTATGTGAAATTTTACACAATGCTTTAAAGTTTTTGGAGAATGTGTTGAAGATGCCACTCAGCTACTGCCACACCAAATTTTAGCTTGTTATTGGCATATTAATTTGTGTTGCCTAATGTCAATTAGCTGCYGTYTCCATCTTGAYTAAGATTGACTCCAAAAGGTAATCATTTGTAGACGTACATCCAGTGAGTACCTTCTGAGAGTTTCAGTGATATTTATCCTCTGGCTCTGGTAAAGCTACAAACAAAACACAAAGGGGCAGAAACATTATCGCCTCTTTGCCTTTTGTCGTCAGGCGATTAAAAACCTGGAACTCTCTTCAGTAAACCAGCCTGAGTACSTCTTTCCCCGGTGACCGTTAGGTTAAGTTTAGCAGGACATTTGTGAAATGCATCGAAAGACTCGAGTTCGCGCGCTATAAAAACACCCGAATGCATCGGTGAAGTTAGAGATGATGGATGCGCTGCAAAAGCCATCCAGAAAATAGTTCGCCACCCCGGGAGAGCTGCAGGTGGAGTTGCTATCAAAGAGCAGAGGCGTGTATGAACATGACTTTCTCATTCCAGCCAGGGGAATTTTTTATTTACTCTGCATGTAGCTATTGATGCATCAGTTTTCAGCAGCCTATAAACCCCCTACAGGCAGCAGTTTGGGGCTGAAATTCACTTCTCTGCTGAAACGAGTGAGCGTGTGCCAAGCATATAGGTTACTCTATATTCAGTCAGTATTTATGGATACCTTCTCAGCTTACGTGAGGTGCAGGGTTTTCCTTGGATGCTCAAAATAAAAAAGAAGTGTTACACAACCCAGCATAATTACCATGTCACAGGGGCTGTAAGTCCTGTCATCGTTTGTGCAGAGATGCACACAAATGAAGAGAAGTGGAGACAAATGACGCACGGTTTGTCATTACAAATCAAGTCAGAGTGGAAAGCCACAGAGTCTTTTTTTTCTTTACCTGTTCATGATAGTTAGATGGAGTGAGGGCACTGAAGAAGGACCACCAGTGCGGTTTGATTTAAGCCGCGTGGGAATCCATTGCTCATACAGCAAAAAGCAGAATGAAAGCTGTATTTTTAGCACCAGAGACCAGCATCTTTAGAAACCTATCACTGCCTCTTTGCTGTCCTGTTTCCCCACTTTTCACCCRTCTGTTTCTCATACAATCCCAACAACTCTCAGATAAAAGCAGTAATTCTGACAGACATGTTTTGCTTTCATCCTAAAACAATTTCCCCCCTCTCCACATCCACMCTCTGAGTTGTGTTGCATCAGTGTGTTTCCTGCGGGGGGGTCGGCTGTAACAACAGAAGCAGAGCTAATCTCGGGCAGTGTTTCGGGGGCTCACATGCGTGGATTGGACCTCGGCCAAAACTTATCCTCGTTTAACGCTGCACTACCCCACCCTTTCCCCCACCACCACTACCCCAACCATTCCTGTGGTGAGCCGCACAGGGAACTGCAGGCTGTGATCTATTGACAGTCCAAAGCTGGCTGAGTTTGCAGCAGAGGAGATAAGGCTGTTCAGTAAAACTTGAGCAAAGCTTCAAATCATCAGTTTTTTTTATCATAAAAGCCTTGTTTTAATATGCTAAGTTATCCATCGCTCATATAAATTGTARGGACCTTGCAGTTTGAGGTGCCAGGGCATGTTCTGAGGCAAACTCTCATTGACCTCCTTTCTGTTATCAGCTCTGCTTTTTGCTTCACTGCTCCGGGCTTGCACCAACAAGACGTGAATGTCAAAAAGCCCCCAAAGTTAGCTTCGTTTGAATGACTTTGATGCACTGTACTGTTTAGTATTTGGCTTTTTGTGTCTGCAGTAACAGGAAGCGCCTTGTTGCTCTTTTCAGGGATTCGTCACTGTTTCTTCAAAGACGTGGTTGCAGATGAAGTGGATAAAATCCTCGTGAGTTCAGCAGCGACAGTGCTGCGWATGTCACTCAAACAGTGGGTGCGGGCAGAGTTGTTCTTCATGAAGTCCATGAGATCTGATATAACCTAGATACTAAGTTAAATGAGTCTAAATTTAGTTTGGCTCATTGTTTGTTGGCAGAAACGTCAGAAAACCGTCACTTGAACAAGTTCTGCTTTTCTCTTCAGAGCGTGGACTTGTTCACGGCTGATTGTGTTTCAGTTTTTTTAAACAAACACMGTTCCTGTTACCTTCACTTTGGTTTTCTCTCATTTTTTAAATGTTAGGGTTTGTGAGAAATGACTTCAGTTGTAAATTATTCATTCGTTTTCTTAATACTGAATTTCAGGATTGTTTTTATTCTGAGAAAGATATAGACATTTAGTGCTTTTAGTGATTGGACAGAGCGTCTCATAGGACATCATGAAATGGCTGTGAGCGTCTGTCTGTTTTCACATGCTTTAAGCCTTTTGTTTTTATTTTTAAATTAACAGGAACTTGTGTTTTACAGCTACAGTCTTCAGTTTAAGCAACACTGACCACAAAAAAAGTGAAGCTTTTTTTTAGTTTAAACCAATGAGCATACATGAAAGTTTGGATAATTTTGCTCACRTGTCCTCTTTATGCAGCCTGGTTTTAAAAGAACAGAATCCAAGTGTTTTACATTTAYTTTTTTTTTCAGCTGTGTGTCTAACACAAGTCTTAACTTTATCACTACAGTTATAGTTAAACAAACAGTAAGGTTGCACTTAAATAAGTCTTTACATTTCACATATTTACATTAAAGCTATACATGACAGAAGGTTGGTATAAATCAGGGCTATTCAACTAAACTGCTCCAGGGGTTACTGCAAGTCAACAGCTTAGGGGCCGAACATTTAGCAATTAAAGTTATTATGTAAATAAACCAAGTATTACAAAGATTTGTTACCTTTGAATTGGTTTATTTTGCTGCATTTAATCATGAATAAAACATACAGAACCCTATAAAAGTAGTGATAATTACACATTATCAAAAACAAAAAGAACACATTATGCCTCCTATTTGACACAAATAATATTTTGACATCTCTGACTTGGCAAATTTTTAAACCAATTTTATTTTAAATTTTATAGTTTTATATTCAACTGCTTGTATTTTTAGCTGTCTTGAGTGTTTATAGAAATMTTTTTTTTACCAGCTTCTAGCCAAGATTCTGATGTTTCTGTAGACACCAAACATGTCTTTGTTTAACTAAAAGAACTTAGAGTAATTAAAGTAGAAAACCGGAGGTTTGGGCTTAAGAGATGAATGAACCAATTGGCGGGCCGAGCTTTGATCACTGGCGGGCCAG